TATATATATATATATATATATATATATATATATATATATATATATATATATATATATATATATATATATATACATATATGATGACACTATATTCCGGGATATCATTCGTTCGCTTGTTGAACTCCGTCTGGAATCCTGCAGACGTTTCGCCAAAATCTCACTTGGCATCTTCAATGCTCGCGCTCTGAGTGTTCGAAGTGTTTTCGGAGCGCGAGCATTGAAGATGCCAAGTGAGATATGTATATATATATATATATATATATATATATATATATATATATATATATATATATATATATATATATATATATATATATATATATATATATATATATATATATATATATATATATATATATATATATATATATATATATTCCGGGATATCATCCGTTCGCTCGTTGAACTCCGACTGGAATCCTGCAAATCCTGTATCCGAAGTGTTTTCGGAGCGCGAGCATTGAAGATGCCAAGTGAGATTTTGGCGAAACGTCTGCAGGATTCCAGTCGGATGCAGGATTTGCAGGATTCCAGTCGGAGTTCAACGAGCGAACGAATGATATCCCAGAATATAGTGTCATCACATTTTTCCATCCGTGAATCAATACGTGAGAATATATATATATATATATATATATATATATATATATATATATATATATATATATATATATATATATATATATATATATATATATATATATATATATATATATATATATATATATAAATAAAAAATAAATGAATACTGCAGTATGTACATACAATTTGACACTGATTAAATAGAAACATTTCTATCAATAAATACTGATTTTATAAATCTGCTTATTGGATTCAGGACAACTTGATTAGGAATAATATTATTGGGAAGAAAAGATCTTAATTAGTCTCCTACTATTTTCCCAACCCTTGCTTGGCTCGATCTAATCAAAACTATGTCCTTGACTCGTAAGTCGTAAGTACTATTCAGTATAACAAGTTTTTGGATAAGTTATAGTACTGATCCATGTTTTCTATCCCATTTTTGTTTGTAGACTTGCATATATGTCTGTTTCCTATTTTTGATATAATAATCACCTATCAAGGTAGTGTCATTCTATTTATAATTTATTTTTTAGTGTACCGAAAGATGAAATTGTAAAGAAATAATGGATAACATTCCTTATCAAAAATGGGACTGCCTGGGAGACTGATAACATCAAAAAATTTATTATTTTGTGCAGACTGTCGAACATCAGAAAAAATTTTTATTTCAGTGCTCATAACCAAAATTTTGAAAAAGCGTTTTATTTTCAAAATAAATTGAACATTTACATTTACACTATTCACCTCTTATCAATGGTCTTAAAATTATTGCAATCCAATTTCGTCCCTAAGTAATCATAATCAACTTTTTTAAAATACCTACAATTATTTTGATTATTTTTTGATGTCACTGGCATTCTTATTGAACTGTATTTGGAGTTTTTTCTAAAAATCAATAATTCGAGTATGTAAAAAAAAAGTCACAGTGCTTGCGAATTAAATGACAGAGAACGCGAGAGGAAATCAATAACGTTAAATTGAATAGAGCGCCTACAGTAAGGTAAAAATACCCTGCATGGTCAAAGTATCCTTTACCACCCCTTGTTTAATGTGCCATTACAAATGAGTGTATGATAAAAGCCTGTAAAATATCCATGATATTTTATTCGAATTTTTCTGTTTAAAAACTATAAATTAATAACATAATATTCTTTAATGAAATTCCTAAAACTGTTTCATCGTGACATAACATTTTAAGCAAAGCTGAATGATATCAATTGTGCATGGATCAAGCGATTTTGATGTTTGTCATTTCTAACTACAAGTCAGCCAGGGAATGAATTAATGCTGTTTTGAAAAAATGTATCCATTGGTAGTAGAAAAAGTAGAGTATGCCAACATGTTGATGAAATTCTTTAGTCACTCGTTTATTAAGCAGTCGCTTTCCTTGTGCCAAATGAAAATCGTCACTAAAATGACGTTTATAAAACTTGTTGCATTATTAGGTATATGTATATTGCACGACCTAATTGAACCTTCCTTCGTTCGTGTTTGTTCCTGCTAAGACGGATATAGTTAACGTTATTGTTTGTGAAGTAGGTTCCCGTTATCCAATAATTATTATTATCCCATTTACCTAAATGACTTAGAGAAAAATAATTTATGTATAGTATAAGTATAAATCCTATGACAAATCTTATAGTGAGATCGCAAGGCAAGTCTCAGAGAATATATCATTGTGTGATGTTTAAATCTTAAATTAACAAATTAGGAACATTTCACTTAATTTCATTTAAATTTTTGTTGTCCAAATTTCATATTTTTTTAATATCTTTAAAAATCTATATTTTAAAACAGTATATAAAATTAAATATTTAATCTAACTTTTAATTATTAGCTTCCTAAAACAGACATATTTTTGGGTCAAATAACACAACAAACAATCCCATAAAATTCCAGGTGGTATATTTTCTTTAGAACATAAGAAACCCTATTCGTGGATACATGGTGTAGCAAAGTACGAAAAACGAAATCATTTAAATTATTAAATTATTTTCAATGTCAGCCGTTTCTCAGATACTTTTTGAAATATTAGACGAAAGTAATTTAGGCGATTTTCACAAAACAATTTATTATTTATTATATTTATTATATGGAACAACCTATATATTTTTGGATTATTAAAAAGAACTTAAAATTGCCTTTCCAAAAATATGGGAGGTATATCAGCATACATTTATAAATATTGAAACTATAAATTTTATTATATAAAATAAAAAATATATATCTTGGTGTTATCACATCTGTAAATCTAGCACCATTAAAATCAAATATTAGTGAAATTGAAGATGATATTAATTGTCATGAAATATGGTGGTACATGGATCAATTAAACTAAACCAGGGAAGAAGTACTGCACAAATAATCACCAAAAATTTCTCCCTATAACATAGTTTAGACATTACAATTATTTATACAATACATAAAAGCGAATTCGGCATCTAAAACCCACAATATTTGACCGCACTTTCGGATAAAATATCAAACCCTTTTACTGTTTTTCAATTCCCCCTAAATTTCTACCTGTAGCATCTATTTCGCCTTTGTATTTTTTATTAAGTACCGCTATCATATTTCATGGTCACGTTTCCCGTAAGTCGATTGGCACGTTTAATAATTATAGATTTTCTGCTGTCGGATAATATTGTGTGACATAAAATGAAAGGAAACCGAATATTTTTTTTAATAAGGAAAGCAAAGAAAAATCTTTCGGTGTATGTCGCTTGAAGGCATGAATATTTATGCTATGATTCAATATAACTGATTACGTGCAACCCTACAGTAAAAAAATCATTATCAAGTGTTTTTCTGTTGTCTTCTACAGCAAAATGCTTTTAGATATCACATACAAGCAAAAAGGCGAGATGTGTAAACTATTAATCAATTGAAAAGATAATTATTATTATAATTTTTGTATTGTTTTAAAATCAGATTTTTGTGCTTGCTAAAAGTTTTTAAAAGATTAATAATGTTAACGATTCTTCCAATGCACTACGTATGAACTACGTTTTCTTCTGATGCTCCTTTTATAGCAGAAAAAAAGCACGAATAGGTTAACGGTGGTAATATATATTTACACCAGGCGATGTATATATTGAATGCAGTAAAGACTTACCTTTTCGTAAATCCCCATTTATGATATAGATGAAGAATCTCCTTAAAGGTTTTATGATACACAGTTAAAAGCCACACTAGAATCTGTTGTCCCTTTGAGTGGCGCACCTCTACTATCCTTTGGTAAACACTATCTCGCATACCACTGCCCTTCCATATATTTGACATTAAAATGCCTTACTCCTAAGTCTTAAGTTGTTTGTTATTTGACCTTTTCTTTATAATAATTGAGAGAGTCGTAAAATATGATAAGCATATTTTGTGTGTTTAAAGCTATTTTTACAAAAACTACTTCCTCATTTATGTTAGAGATCTTCTTCTATGTACTCTTCAGTTTGTTGAAGCCAACATGATGTGAGGTTGTTTTTCTCCACTCAGTACTCTAAAATACTCAATTATGCATGAATCAAGCTAGCGGAAAGTGTCATTTTAGGACCTCAACTTCATTACACATGGTCGCGAGTCATATTTTCGGTTTTTTAGTCACAGGTTTGCTTAAAACCAAGTTTGAAGCTTCCTAAATGCAAAAAATTTGGTATCAAATAACAAATAAATACTGTTTGACAAATCAATTTTTCTAGTTGTTTGTTTCTGCCGAAATTTAGAGCCAAATGCTACCAATAATCAATTTTTTATAGAAAAAAAAATTGGACTAAAAATGCAAAATTTAATATATTTCTTGAAGAATAACATATACACTATTAAAGTATGTACCTTTTTCCTACCTAATCTACTTAATGTTCCTGTCAATCTACCGACAATATCCGATCGCTCCCAACCAGTATCGATCACCCTCAAACTAGCCCGCGATATGAGTAATTAGGTATTTTAAAGTAGGAAGCAGGAAAAAGTAAACAATTTTTTACGCTTCTTTAAACTTGTCTTATGTACTTTCGCTAAAGTTAACAGAATTGCCTTCGGACGCATCTCCATCTTTTAGTACTCTGTATAATCTTAGTATGTTGATAAACGTTAATAGAAAAGTTTAAGCTTAAGAAGTTTTAATGAGACCAATTTGCACTCCGTGCATTCAAGAGTGTTTAACTTTTCTTAAGTTAATTGTTTGAGATTGCTACTTTTGTTTACAATTGTAATCCGATTTCCTGACGTCTTATTAGTTTTTGTTAGATTGAAGTTACTCATGCGTGCAGTTATGTAAATGTTATGATGTTGGTTACGATAATAGGTTATCAGCACAGGTAAAGTAGTTATATTGAGCTATAGTAGGTTATTATTAAGAATTTTTTTGTATTACGTTATTATTGACCAAGTATTTTCTCTTAACTTTCATTTTCCCGACTCTACAAATCCGTGCTTACTTGTTGGTCGTGTGTCCAATAGATTGAGGGAGGTGGTTCCGGACTATGTTTGACTATACATGTCAGGTTCATAGTGCTTCCTTTATTAATATACATTTCTGGACCGCCCAGTAGGGTCGTTACTGGCTCTGGAACAAAAAAGAAATCATTATTAGTAAGTACTGCTTGTAAAAGCTGGGGTAATACGGTGACTAACCCTCTCCCAGAGTTAAATCTCTAATATAATATCCAATACAAATAATTTTCCAATGAATCAAAAATTTACCAAATCTCTTTGGTTTTTGCCATACCTATATTCCTATATTGCTTTAAAGGATTATCGTTATTGCAGTTTATATTAAAATTATATTAAAACTACTACACTATTACATGCGTAAGAGGAATGCCAAGATTAAGAAACCATCGATTTTAAAACAGAACAGAATATGTATTGAGACCTTGGTTACGCCATATATGAGAAATATACCAATATTACATCAATGTGTCGTTCACATTATAAAGCGTGGAATTCCGAAATATTTCGGAAAAACAACCCAGTAAGGACAAGTATAAATTTGGCAACTATCGCCTGGACAGGTTCTATGGCACATCCGAATTCCACTTCTATGCTGACTCGATATACCTTGACAGTGCTTCCAGAATCTCAATCCGGCATCTGTATGCGTAACACCTGTCAGTCGCTAAGCGCAATTTCGAGTGATTTATTACTATCGGACATATGACGGCTTATCCCTTCTTTCCGAGGCAAATTACAAAAACATTTTGGTCGTCGAGCACGTCGAAAACTAGTCGTTATTTCCGTCCATTCGTAATGTATCACCCGGGACAAATAATAAGTGATGAAATAAAACCCAAAATAACATACTCGAACCTGAAACCGTACTATGTTTTCTATCCTATTTAATTAGTCCTATTAGTCCATTAAACCAGTATTTGAAAACATTAGCTTGGTTTTCAAAAACCAATAGTTGACCACGAATAAACAAACGATGCGCTTGTCAGTGGTTATTTTGCAATAGCTTGGAGAATCTACTGTTTATCCACCGCCAGTTTTGTGTGTTTTAGGGTTGATTGATATTGAAATACCAAATGTTTAGTACACCCGAAATAACAAAGTAAATTTTTGGAATGAATAATTCTTCAGCGAAACTCGACATTCACTAATTTTATATTCGAGAGGAAAAACTTTTTTTTAAATAACAATTTTACTTGTTGAAACGCTTTAACCATGTAATCATGGGCAGTTCAAACCACCACGTAGGCCTAAATTGAGTGGTTTCTGTTGATAAATAGAAAGTCTTTAAATGACCCTGAATAAATGACCAGACAAAACACTATATTTAATTATTTATTGCAACGAATTCGACGAAAATTCAAAGGATTTCCAAGAAATGAAAGGGTTTACGTTGTATCCTTTACCCTTTGGTAATCTCTAAAGATACTTGAAGCAACATTTTGTGTACATGCTTCAAGTATTTTCAATATAAAACGAAACCAAAATGAGTAAATCCCTCTATTTTCGTAAAATCTAAATCTATTTTAAAACCGGGTTTAGCCAACAATTAACAACTTAAGTTCAGCTTAACCTCATTTGTTCGGTCGTGTTTATTTTTGAGGTAATTCTATATTGGAAATTGTATATTGAAATAAATAATATTTTAAGAAGTAACAATACGTTTTCGAATTAAGGAATATTATAATCCATGTTATTTGTTCACAATTGCTCGCATGGTACCTAATAAAATTTAGAACACAGAAACCCAGAAGTGTGTACACTGTAATTTCTGACTTATAATTCCCTGGAACTCTTTTGGAATTATATCACACTGTACAAAACAATTTCCCAACTACTTACCCCTCAAAGAATAGACAACCATACTAGTTAATAACAACAAATAACAATCAAATAAAAACTACAGTAGTATCCTTTTAAGAATGATTTCAGCATGTGTATTATATATTATATTTGTTACAACACTTTTTCTATGACAGTTTTTGGGTAACTTTTTCCCATACATCACCATCAGATATAGTCAATGTATATCACTACTTACTTACTACCTAAAAAAAACGGATAAACGCCGTTATCAAACTACTTACCTCCAAAAAAAAAACATCTAGAAAAATAGGGAAATTATATGTCATTAGCATTAGTACAACAAAAAAACAATCCCCATTACTATCTAGTTTTTGCAGACGGTTTATATAAAAACCAAAACTAACTATTCAAAAAACATTTTTCATTTTTTTAATCATTAAGTTTCATATAAGAGTTAAAAATTAGTAACCAATGTCACAAAAGTAATGAAATCTTATTTTTGATTTTATGGCTATAGGTACTCTCAAGTTCCCAACTAATCTCGCGTTTCTCCATTCCAACAAAAAAAAAATTGTAGGAAATCTCAATTTTTTTCAAAATTTTTTATCCCCTGTCCTGTACTTCAATCCACAATTTAATCAACAACGAAAACTCCAAAGGAATCCTAACAATAAAATTGTACGTTTCATTTTCAACATGCTCCGTTGGCGACCTAATTTCTTGAGAGCGTCGTTTAATAAGTGCCACCCAATTTCACAATGGCATCTCATAAGAAAAAGAATCAAATAAAAGGAAACTTCTTCCCTTTCTCGTTAAGGGCGTTAAACAAGTTTTTAGAGTTTCACTATTTTAATTTAACCGAACGAAGTTTCATTTAGATGGAAATCGCTTTACAAGGTACAACCAAATATTTTTTGACACAAATTTCCCGGTTTTTGTATTAAAATGACGTGATATTTTTTTCTTTAATTTTATTTTAGAAAATATGTCAAAATAATATTTTTTATCTTATTTCTGGTTAGTTGAAAATCGGCGGGTATTATAAAAATAAAATTGCTCTGAAAGGTAATAAAATTACGGGGTTTTTACACGGGAAATCAATTGAAGATTTTGGTAGTAGTTTTATTTAATGAACAGGTTTATTTCATGATTTTTTTCCTTATCAATATTACACACAACTGCTTCTCTCTAAACTGTCCGACATGCCCGTCTATTTGTGCTTAGCCATTTTCCAAGGTCGAGCAATTTATGAGTAGTGTAATTTTCAGATTCGGTGCTAGTAACTTGCTACTACTCTAATCCGAATTTAATTTTGAATTATGGAAGCTTCGCAAAAACTTGCCTTTTAACCAAATTTTAAAAAATATATATTCAGTCCCCGTACATTTTCTTATTTATCTCATTTCCCGGATTGGCAAATTACAAAACTTAAACAACTCCATTTTCTCCGCTTCGTGTTGATTTTATTAAAGATAATAATATGATTTTATATCTCCCCCGGCATGGGAGATCTTATCATCATTCTGATTCAGCCGAACACAAACATCTCGAAGGACAGAATGAAATTGGGGCGAGAGAATATGTATAAATGGACAACGCATAGTGGGTAGCAAAAATGTGTGTCTCCAAATGGAGCACGTATTTTGTTACAAATTGGTAGGCAGCACGGGGACTTCTCTTCAAACATGGCAATAAGTTTAATTTTATTAAGAAATATGATTGTACTTCCTAGATAACGAAATTCTAAGAAATAAATATACCTCGATACCATTAAAATAAGTCCAAAGAAAAAGCGCTTGTTAACTTTGAGTGGTTTTCCTTTTAAATTTCCATCTCAAAGTGAGGAAAGTGCGAAAATGAGACGAAGAGTTTTGATGAAGGACGTATTGATTTATATAGAAGAGACAACTCAAAATTTTTGTTAATTGGCAGCATTTTGTAAGAATATTATAACGAGTTTTCAGTTTGGTGAAACTAAAATCAAATCCTGAAAGATTTGACTTGGCTAACCAAGATACGAACTAGAAACAAAGATTAATTACTGTCGGGCGTAGCGCTCTACAGCCCTCCAACTTTGCGAAATTTATAGTAAAAAACAGCGATTTCAATTTTTATACTTATACACCTACTAATAATATACATATTTTTGAGAAAATTATTGCACTTATGCACCTATCAAGCGTGTGGAAAGGTTCACTTTAAGGTGCCAGCTTCGTTACCCTAACTCATGAGCCATTTACAACATTTCGGTATTTTAGTCGCGGTTTTTGAGAGAGAAAATGAAGAAAAACTTTGAACGTGTGGTATTTTCGTACTGTTTTGCAAAAATGTACCTGAGAACTAACGGCCGTAGAAAAAGTTGATAAACTTGTTCAGTTATTCTTATTTTATGCACTCACTCCGCTCATGCCAAATTAAAGGTGTCACTAAAATTGCGTTTAACAAACTTGTCGCAAAATATAGAATTGTCGTACGACATTAAATATGAAGATACGAAACTCTAATAAACCAGATAATCTAGAAAAGTGAAGAAGACATTGGAGACGTTGTAATTCTAAAGCTGTACACTACGGAATATTGTTGTACTTTTTAAAATGACTTTCATATTAATATTCATAATAAATGTTACCCTACACTAACCAAAGCTAACTAAAGATAACATAAACCACATAGCACAGAAACAAAACTTTTTAAAAACTTTGAATTTGGGCACAATATCGGGCGTGAATAACGCTGTATATTGTCCTTGGCAGCAACTCACAATCATCAGCTTCTGTCTTTCACCAAATAAAGATTTCCTTCGTACAAGATTGTCTTTCGTAATAATCATGCATAAAAGGGACGTAGAAGGTATGTTTTCCTCGATATTAGATAATTTAGGTTAGTTTCAAAGATTGAGGCTTTATATGTGCTTTTTATAAAACTTTTGGATTCCTCCTGCGTCGGTTTTTGTTCGCCAATCATCCTGTTGGCTGCTTCATAGCTTAACTGAGCCTGGCTCGCATTTTACTCTGTACCTGCCGTTATATTTTTTTTTAGGGGTGTTAGAAACTAAATGGGAGGCATAAACTTCGTCTCGGATGACTGATTCCCATATTTTCGCGGATAAGATTGTTAGGTTGCTTATAGATTTATATAGACTCTCGGATTTTTCCTTGATAGAAGAATTGATTACATGCAAGAATTTTAGTTTTATCGAATAAAATTGTATGTCCGGTTTCGTGATTGTGTTAGGCAACTGCTGATGAGTTCGTTTGTCTCAGCCTTAAGGCTCTTTCATGTTTTTGAGCCTAGTTTATATTTTTCATC